AGGCCCAGCCCCCGCTCCCCAGCAGGCAGCCGCCCGCCGCTGGCGAGCCCAGTCGCCGAAGACCCTGCCGCCTGTGCTGCGCCCCTGAACACGCCCCCCCCGTGTAAACTTGCTGCAGCGGGGCCCTCCCCAACCGGCAGGGGCGCCGGCCCAGCCGCCCATTGCGACGCCATCTCTGACGCCTAGATCTGTGGCTGACTCACAAGTCGCTGTTGCCCGACCCGCCCCACCCCTCCGGTGCGAGAAATAGCCGCGGTCGCCCTGTCCCCGGCCCCCAGCTCGGTTCCACCTGTCCTGCAAGTCGACTCCCCCCGCAGCCCTGTGGCGGCATCCAGGCCCTGCAGCCCCGCGCCCCCGGCGGACGACCCTAGCGAGGACAGGGCGACGGGAGGTTCAGTGGCCCCATCCGAGCGCAGGTCCCCGCCCTCCTCCATCACCCCCACCATGGGGCGGCCCTGTTAGAGACTGCGACACGCGGCGGGCGCGGCGGGGGCGAGTGCTGGGGCGAGCGCCGCCCACGTCGGCAATGCGAATCCAGCCGCAGCGGCCCTTGCAGCGGCAGCTGGCCCGGGTGGTCGGGCTGGTTTCATTGGGCGGCCAACGAGCGGCGGGGCCGGGCCTCGCGCGCCCACGCGCCCTCGTGCCCCGACGACAACCCAACCCCTCGGCCCGCCCCGCGGCCCCCCTGCGAAGTTGCGCAACCCGACCCTTCGCAGGACCAGATCGACCCCCGCGCCGGCCAACGCGTGTATCGAACGCATCTGGAGCGGGCCCAGCTCCCCCCACCCCGTTGCGAAGCCCCGGCTGAGACTGTGAAACGGCTCCAGAAGGAGCTTGGGGAATACTTCACCGGGATCTGGCACCAGCGGATTGCCGAACGCCCCGCCGAGTCTGGCCACATCTGCGCTGACCCAACTAAGCAGGGGCCCGACTCATGCAAGTGCCAGGTGGCACCGCCACAACTGTCACCCCATGAGAATGGACGAGGCTCTACGCCTTGAAGTCGATTGGACCGCGGTCCGCGGCAAGTTTGCAGACAGGGCCAAGGGCCAGGGCGCCCGGGGCAAAGCCAAAAGCAAGGGGCATTGGGAAGACAGCGACCCCCGCTGGACAAGGCCTGGGGGCCCCTGGCGGGCCACGAGCTCGAGCCCGCCAGCCCTGAGTATGCCCCTATGCCCTCTTGCGTGCCCCCGCCCTCCCCTGGGCGCAGTCAACGCCGCGGCCGCGCCCCCGATTGTCTGGCATGCCCAGACGGCTCTGCCAGTGCCGATTGCTCCCCTACACTTGGCGACGTTTCTGCCCATGGCGACGCGAGCGACTTTCCGCCCGCTGGGGCCTGCCCCAGGCGGGGCCCCTCGGCGCGCCACTTCGGCCCCGCGCCTAATGCCGCCTCGGGCGCGCCCAGCCGGGGCTGTCGGCTCGCCCCTGGCACGCAGGAGACCTGGCTCCTGGCCCCCCCCCCTGTGGCCTCTCGCCGCCCCCCCATCCAGTGGGGCGCCCGTGCTGCTACGTCCCTCGTGACAACGAACTCGCAGCCTTGTGCTGCCCTACTCCTCGTGGCCGGCTGCTGCGCTCCCGCCGCTTCCCGCCCGCCTCTCTGCGCCGCCGCGCGACCGATCGTCGCCTCCCACCTCGCCTGCCCCATCGGGGCTGTTCCTTGCCATTGCGCGACTGTCAGTCGCCTCCTTCCGCCACTCGTCTCCGCGCCGTCGATGCCCTTCCAATGCTCCATTCCGCGGCTGCCGCCGCTGCCCCGCGCGGCCCCCCCGCCCGCCTCCTGGTTCCCGCCCCCCACGGATGCGCCACCCCATTCCGGGCTGTCAGCTGCTTTCCCCACGTCCGCCCCCCGCCCGCCCCCGTGCTCCCGCCCCTGCGCCCGCCCCCCATGTGTCTCCAATTTTGCGCGACTGTCAGTCGCTCGACTGGCCCTCCCAGGCCCTGCCCCCCCTTGCGGCCTGCGTCGCGGCTGTCTCCCGGCCGGGGGCGTGCCTGGGCCCCCCCCGCCGCGGGCCGTGGCCCACCGCCCCCGGCCTTTCTCTGCTTCCGCCGGCCCCCCCCCCCGGTCCGCGACGCCCCCCCCGGGGCGGCGCCGGCGGCCCCGCCGCGGCGCGGACTGCGGCAGGCTGGCTTGTCCCCCCGCGCCGTCGCCTCCGCCCAGCTGAGCGCCGGCGCCCCTGCCCGGGCCACCGCCCCCTCCAGGGGCCGCTGGGCTGCCTCGCCGTTAGGGCGCTTATTGGCTGGATGACGCCGCTCGCACGCTCAGCGACGTCGGGCCCCGCGGCCCCATTCGCCCGTCGTGCCCCGCCCCCGCGTGCTTGGTGTCTCCTGGCACAGCGCTCTTCCGCCCCGCTGTCGGCGTTGCTCGGCGCTGCCGTCGACCCTCCGCTGCGGCAATCGCTTTGCCTCTTCCCTCGGTGCTCCTCGTGATCGTCGAGCGCCTGCGCGCTGCCCTCTGCGGACTCGTCTCGGCCCTCCGCCTGGGCGTGGTCATTGGCTTCAATTACTCCGCCATTTTGGCTTGCATCCAGGCCGGCACCTTGGTATTCGTCGGCTTCGGCGTGTCCTAATTACCTATTCTTCAGCGTCGGTTTCGCCGTCTGAGCCGCGGCGTAGTTCGCTCCTGCGCGCTTGGTGCCTAATTTAGTCCGCTGCTCCATAGCCGCGCTTCGACTTGACGCCGAGCGATTTGTCGTTTCGGCCGCGATCAAAAAAAACAATGCACCCGCCAGCCCATCCAGAAACGATCGCCAGGGCAGTTGCTTTATCAGGGACGCGAGGAAGCGCGCAGTTGCGCGGCCGCCGCGGGGGCGCGTCGGAGGAGGGGGCGCCGAAAACAGCGGGAACGTTTGACTCGCGATAAAATCAATGCCCCCGTGCCACGGCGGTTTCGTTGATGCCCCCGCGATTTGTCTCACGAGCCTTTTAAATACATCATGGGCCCATCTTGGGGCTAGGAGGAGGAGGAAGAGGAGGAGAAGGCGGAGAAGGCGGAGGAGGAACAAGGGAAAAGGAGGAAAAACAGGAGGAACGCGGCACAAGCTTTGAGCTTTCGAAAAGGGGGGGGGGGGGGGGATACCCCGCTTTTGTTTAGACAGCGGGGCTCAATGCTTCATAACCAGCGAAAGAGGGGCCCCGTCTTTGCAGGGTCTTTGCAAGGTCTTTGCGGAGGGGGTAATGCAAGAACATAAATTGACCCCGCACAGTGGGAGTGTTGGAGGCCTCTTGGGGCGATCTTGGGCCCCATGGCTCAAAAAGGGAGGGGTCCTCAATTCAGGTCCCCCTCCCATCGGATGATCAAAACGGGCGTTTTGGGGTTCTCTTGGGGCACTTTTGGAGCGCACTTGGGCGTTTTTGGGGCCCTCTTGGGGCCCTCTTGGGCCCTCGTGAACTCATCTTGGGGCCATCTTGAAGCTTCAAAGACTCTTCGGAAACGAGGAAATTAAATGGCAATCCACACTGTGGTGCTTGCAGGATTTGGGCCTCTTGGACGGTGCCGCGGATGGTTCTAAGGGCACTTGGAAGCATTATGGGTCTGTATTGGGTCGTCTTGGAGGCATGTCGGAGGCGACCTTGAAACATGGAGGCCATCTATAGGGCTCTGAGGTCCTTTTGGAACCATTTTGGACCGAAGAACACCCTCTGACACCGCGCGGGCCGCCCCGTCCAAACCTAGTGGAAGGGGTAGGGGGAGGGTCGAGGCCCCCCTTTCTCACGCAAGGTGTCTCGTTCACTCCCTCCCGCCCTCCATACACATAAGTAACACCCGAGGGAGTCTCGGCCCATTGCTTAGCAGCGCCACCCATGCCATGTGCGCCACGGGTTCCAGGTGCACCGGACACCCTGGAGGCCAAAGCGTGCCAGGCGCGCCAGATGCGGCACGTGCTTCACGCTTGAGCAATATGCCGGCACCCCCGCCATCCCTCCCAAAACCGATGCAAAGTGGTCGCGGGGCGCCCGCGCATGCTCTGGATGTGGAGGCACATTGTTTTCTGCATTGTTTTGTCAGGGGCGGTTGACCTGCGCGCAACGAGCAATATGACGGCACCCCCGCCGTCGCTGTCAAACACCAGTGCAAAGTGGTCGCGGAGCGCCCGCGCGCGCTCCAGATGCGGAGGCAAAGTGCATATTGTATCGTTTTTTTTGACAGGGATGGTTGCTTTGCACGCAGCGAGCAATGTGACGGCACCCCGTCGCCTCTTTCAAAAACCTTTGTAAGCTGGTCGCCCGGCGCCCGCGCGTGCTCAGGATGCAGAGGCAAAGGGCAAAGTGCAAAGTGCATTATGGATTGTTTTTGTTGACTGGGATGGTTGGCCTGTGCGCAGCGAGCGACATTACGCAACCCCCGCCGTCTCAAAAACCAATGCAAAGTGGTCGCAGGGCGCCCGCGCGTGCTCCACATATGGAGGCAAAGTGCATTCTGTATTGTTTTTGGACAAGGATGGTGTGTGGGGGGTGGCATGTCCCGGGGTGGCCCAGCCGGGTGGGGGAGTGGGTGCGTACTAATAAGGAGCCATGATAAACCCTTCCCCCGAGCAGGTGAAGGAGGGAAGAATAACCACCCAGAGTTGAATAAACGGCCCTGGGCGTTTACCAGACAGCCTTGCCCTGTTCGATTCCTCCTTTGGGTGCGTTTACTAAATGGCTTCGCATGTCGGGGCGATTAGTATGGGGGTGGATATTCTGCCCTCTACTTTGGCACAGAGAAGACTCGTTAGACCACATACGCCCAGAGGGTTGGTCGGATTTCCCCCGAGGTGCTTGGGGCTGACCCTCCCCCCCCCCCCCTTCGGTGGCCACGGCGGCGACGATTCTGAATCCCAGATCCTCGACTCTGCTCCGTTCCCACGATCCTCCTCCCCGATCCTTGACCCTTCTCGGTCCTCGATTTTCAAGCTTCTCGACCCTCATCCTCGATCCTCCTCCGTTTCGATCCTCCTCCCCGATCCTCGATCTTCGATCCTCTTTCGTTTCCCCTCTGGGCGCCTGGCGGACGCCTGGAGGGCCCTCTGCTGGGCGACGCCGCCAAGTATTTGGACGACATCTCCAGCCTGGGCGACTCGGACGAGGAGAGCGATGGGGAGGATGGGTAAGGGGAGGGAGGGAGGGGGAGGGAAGGGAGGAGGGGGAGAGGAGAGGGGAAGCGAGACGGAGAAGGGGAGGAGGGGTAGGAAGGAGGAGGACGGGGAGGAGGAGGAGAGGAGGAGAAGGAGGAAAAGGAGGAGGAGGACCAGTGTAAATCAAGACTCACCAACGATGTTGGAATGAACCCTCCCTCCAAGCTCCCTCTTCATAGGGACCTACACGGGTTCATTTCCACTGAAGGAAGTGCCCCGTTGGAAGACAACCGTTTGAAGATCCTGAAGCGTGCCAACACACTTTCTCTCGGACTCCACCGCCACGAACTTACCTTACATTTGCAGCGTGACGATCCCGAATTGTGCCACAATGCCCTTCCTGGGATTTCAACACTGCGAATCAATGTGACTGTTGCGCCTTGACAACCCAGAAGTGCTCGCACATGCCATTTCTGGTACGTTAGGCATGCGGACCCGTGGAGCTCTCACATACAAAACACGAGTGTGCGCGGCGTTAAGACGAGAGCCACATCTTGAAAAAAACGACTCGCCCTCGATATGTGACGCTCTTACGCTTTTTGGGACGAGTGCGCGCGGCGCACAGGCGAAAGGCGCATTAAAGCAATTGCCCGCCCTGAACCCGTGAAGCTCTTGCAAATGTTGGAAACGAGTGCACGCGGCGTTAAGCCGAGAGCCAATGATTGAAAACCGCCCGCCCTCAACCCGCGAAACTGTAGTCATTTTTTAAGACGAGTATGCGCGGCGCTGAGGCGAGAGCCACATGTTGAAACTTGCCCGCCCTCAAGTCGTGCAGCTCTTGCAAGTGTTCAAGACAAAGAGTGCGCGGCGCGAAGGCGGGAACCACATGTTGAAAACCACTGGCCCTCCATCTGCGAAACTGCAGCCACTTCGGAAACGTCAGGAGGCTACATGGTGAGGAGTTCTCAGGCGAAACGCCCGGCCCGCCTTTTCGACTGGCCTCGGGGTGCGACAGGGAAAAGTCATTTACAAGGAAAACCTATGGAGGAGGAGGAGGAGGAGGAGGAGGAGGAGGAGGAGGGGGAGGAGGAGGAGGAGGAGGAGGAGGAGGAGAGGAAAAGGAGGAGGAGGAGGAGGAGGAGGGGAGGAGGAGGAGGAGGAGGAGGAGGAGGAGGGAGGAGGAGGAGGAGGAGGAGGAGGAGGAGGAGGACGAGGAGGAGGAGGAAGAGGCGGAGGAAAGGAGGAGGAGGAGATGGAGGAGGAGGAGGAGGAGGAGGAGGTAGATCGCAGCAATATCCGACCCATGTGTGTGCAACGTCAAATAGTAGGAGGAGGGGGAGGAGAAGGAAGAGGAAGGAGGAGGGAGGAGGGAGGAGGGAGGAGGGAGGTGTACACCCAAGTGTGCATCGCCTGCCGGTCCGCAACCGTTTATGCTCGAAAGGCCTCTTGAGCCGCCTTTGGGCGGTACTTCGATTCACTTGTGGGCCCCAGAGAGCTCGCCGACCCCAATATATTCAAATGTTGGATACTATCACGCATATACTGAACAATCTCTCTGCTGCCAGTACTGACGAGTTTCAGGCGAGCGGGCAGGAGCAAGACGGCCTGCCACGTGTTGTTGGATATCAAAGGAGTCGTATCCACGGACCTAACATTACGGGTACGGGCGCCGACGTCGATATTGTCCTCAGGATCGGCGAACCTGCATTGGTAGCGGAACAAGTTGGCCCCACGCAGCACAGCTGGCACCATGACGGACAACAGAGAGAACGACATGCATAAATTTCCTCCGCGGGATGGAGATTGAGCAAGCTTCCAGGAAAACAGGGAACGGGTGAAGTGGTACGCGGCAGGGTTCTCGTATCGTGACAACGCGGTGGCTGGCGCGAGGCTGGCATCGGCGTCGACGGGTGAAGCCTGGAGGGCGCTCGAGGAGGTGTCTGACGAAGGCCAGGCGCTGCTGGACAGGAATGGCGGCCACAAGACACTACTACAGTTCCTTGGCGAGACTCTCGTGGGCGAACCCATCCCAGAAGCGGCCAAGTATCTCAAGGAGTACCTCTTCACGCTGCGGCGGAAGAACAAGGAAGGGATGAAGGCCCACGCCCAGCGGAGCCGAATCGTCGCCGACAAGCTGGACCAAAGCTTCAGGATAATCGAGGAGAAGAGCCCGAGCTGCGAGCTGAAGCTGCAGAAGCGGCCCAGACGCGAAGAGAAGCCGGAGTCCGCGAAGGAGGAGTTATCCAGGGCGACGACGATGACGACGAAAGAGCTGGAAGCACGAGATTTGGAGCGGAAGCTGGCGGCGTGGCAGCAGCTGGCGGGGCAGCTCTCCAGGTGGGCAGTCGGGCTCGCAGTGGGAGTGGCCTCCAGCATCGGCGTCGCCGTCGCTGAAAACACACGAGAAGGTGTCGCTGAAGGAGAAGGCCGCGGAGGCTCCATGGTCACTGATGGCGAGGTTCGACCTGGATGAAGGCGTGTACATCGAAGCTCTGTAGGAGGTGGCAACTGAGTTGAGAGACGCTCATCGCGTCGGTCATGGCTGGATGGTTGCTCTTGTAACGGGCTGGACTGAACGCTCCAGAGCGCGCGGGAGTGCTATCATCAGCTGAGAACTCGCTGACCCTGAAGAACATCGAGGCAGCGCTGCGCGACCAGCGGGCAGGCGTCGACCTCGAGGGGCGCGACGCCCACGACAAGAAGAGAGACATGTTCCCGCGCAAGCCCAACAATTGGTGAGCTCTGGGTTTGCTCAACGAGGGCGACTGCGAGGAACAGGGCTACGACGACGAGAACGGAGAGGGCGTCGGCAACGAGACCTACTTCGGCGACGAGGCGGACGAGGGCGACGGCGAGCTGGACCTCGAGGACGCGGGCGAGGACGACCCGGTGATTCCATCAGAGAGGCAAGGTTCGCGGCAAGGGTCGACCAGCAGGTGGCAGGGGGCAAGACCCATGCTTCACCTGCGGCGGACCGTGCAACCGCAAGCACTGCTCGCGCAACCGGGGCGGGGCGCAGGCGCGGCAGGTTGGCGCCGCGGCGCTCAACTTCGGCACCCTTGACCACGTCCCGGACCGCGGGGCTGAGCTGGGCAGCGAGGCGGCGTCGGAGGGCGCGGGCGCGAAGGAGCTGGCGTTCACGTCGTTCGGCGCAGCCTGCCATGCGACGCGCGGCGGCGCGGTCGAGCGCGCGCTGGCTGGGCTTCGGGGCGAGACAGCAGGCTGCGCAGCGCTGGTCTGCGTCGCGACCCAGACGCTCGGATCTACCAGGGCGCCGGGGCAGATCATCGAGGAGCAGGGGGCCGCGGGAGCGGGCGCCGACGGCGAGACGGTCGACGCAACAGATCGGCCGAATGGTGCTCGGCATCTCGCGTGATTCGGACGCCGTCAATTCACATCGTGCCCGCGGGCCCTTTTGTGCGGAAAAAAGGGTGCCCCAAAATGCGCTTTCCCCGCGCATCCGCGTAACTTCCGCCATGGTTGTGGAAGGCGTGGTTCGGCGGTGAACTGATCAGATCCACGGGGGGGCCGAGGACGCGCGCGGCCCATGGCAGCGGCGCCCAGAGAGCAGCTGGTAGATGGCAGAGGCGACATCACGCCGCCGGAGTTCAGTGGCAGAGACGAGCACTGGCCCAGCTGGTCCATCAAAGCCAACGCGTTCTTCGCGCTGATGGGCTGGGACGACCCCATCGACAATGTTGAGGTCCAGCCAGCGCTCGCGGTGGGCAACGTCAGCGCGGGCGAGCGCGCGGCAGTGACGAGCAAGCTGCTGCGTGCCGCGCTGATCACCAAGACCCAGCGCAAGGCGCTGGCGGTGGTTACGCTCGCAGGCAGGCACGAAGATTTCGTCGCCTGGCTGGCGAATCAGAACCAGTACGAGCCTGGGGTGGGCAACAGGTTCGCAGCCATGCTCAGCGGACTGCTCAACCCCAGGTGGGGCGACCAGAAGCCGTTCGCCGACCAGCTCGTTAACTGGGACAACGACGTGGCGACGCACGTCATGCAGGCGGGGAAGGATTTCGGCGATGGGTTTCGCATCGCCTCGCTGCTCGTCCATAGCCCCGAGCCGTGCAAGACCGTGCTGCGCAATGCTCCGACGGCCGCTAGGGTCTTGCACATGGCGCTGAGGACCCACCTGAGAGAGCGGATGGCGTCTGGATAGGTCTTCGCAGCTAGCGGCGCGGTGGGCCAAGGCGTGGCGCCGATGGGGATCGGCGCGATCACGGGCCATGCCCTGCCGCGGCAGCCTTTGCCCAGGCGCAAGAGCGACAAGTCGGGGGGCGGCAAGGGCGACGAGATGGACGGCAATGGCGACAAGGGCGGCAAAGGCAGCAAGAAGGGAATCAATATTGACAAGCTCAAGGGCAGCTACCCCGCCAAGTTCGAGGGAACCTGCAACTGGCGCCAGAAGCAGGGGCACAAGGAGAAGGACTGCTGGCACATGGCGGCTGGCAAGCCACGGGCGCCGTCAGCAGCGCCCCTGAAGGCGGCCGCAGTCCAGCAGGCCCCTGCATGGGGCTGGGGGCCAGAGGACCGTGAGCGCGGTGGCCGCGGGCTCCGACGGCGACGAGGTCGGCTGGGTCTTTGGAGTCAGGAGCATGGTCGGATGCTGCCGCGGGGAGGAGCGCAGAGGGCTCGCCCTCGCAGACAGCGGCGGCGACGAGCACCTCTGCGGCCAGGCGTTCGAAGCACGGCATCCGGCAGTTCAGGAGGACTCCACTGCGCCCAAGCTCACCACGGTGAGCGGCCAGAGGCTTGGTGCCGAGTTCCCTTCTTGAGCGTTCGCACGCGCAGCTGCTCCTCCTCCACGATGTTGACCTCGGGTCCGGGGCTGGCGTCTGTGATGCCATCAAGTCCCTGGTCGTAGCCCAGAGTCACGGGCGCGCCGAAAACGCAGTCCGAGCAGAACCCCTGGTGGCTGCAGACCTCGTAGGCCTTCTCGCCGCAGGCGATGCAGTCCTGCAGCGGCTCGGTCACGCACGTCGTGGGGCAGGTGGTCTGCGGCAGCGTCGTCAACGCGAGGCTCGGAGCTGGCGCTGCCGTGGAGCAGCAAGAAAGAGCTGAAGCCACGGCAGACAAAAGCCGTGACCTTTTCGGTCGACGAGGCTGGAGTCGCCTCGGGACGTTCAGCTCCTTCTTCGTGACGAGCTTTTTAAGCGTATCAACCAGCGTGCCGGTCTTGATCGTAGCGTTGACCGTAGATTCGTCGCCCAACTTCGGTCGGCTGGCTGGCTTGGCAGGTCGCTCCACGCCGGCGTCCTTGATGGCCTGCCAGTCCTCTGGCTGCAGCGCTCGTCGTGAGCTTCTGGGCGGAGCTCCCGGTGCGGATCTGGCCCTTCCAGAGAGAGATGTCGATCTTGGAAGGCTGTGTGAAGTCGCGGCCAATAAGCAGGCCAAGCGCGGGGCTGTCCACGGCGCTGAACACGGCGCGGCCGGCCTGGCCGCAGAGCGCGAACAGCGCGGTGACGTGCAGCTTGCTCGGGAGAGTGCCTCCGTTGCCGAACCTGTAGACTTCGTTCTCGGGCCCCCTGAGGATCTGGTCGGCGAGGCCCATCCTGGTGAGGATGTCTTGTAGTTGTCGTACCACTTCCTGCCCGAGACGCAGCAGAGGCAGGGGGTATCCACCGCGCCGATGCCTTCGTCCGTGGGTTTCCCGTTGCCGATCGCGACGTTCACGTTCGGCAGGTGGTGAACCAGCCGCTCTGAGACGCAGGCCTCAGGAGGCGGCGACGCAGGCCCCTGCGGGTGAAGGGCAGTTTCCTCGTCTGCGAACTGGACCTACTCGGCGATGCGCGCCTGGCGCTGCGGGCGACCTCCTCGGCCCCCCCGCCCACCTCCCTTGGACTTGCCGTCCCCAAGCGCGAACTTGCGAGCACCCGGCGCGGGGCGCTCCGTATCTCTTGTCCAGTGCCCGGTCTCGCCGCAGCCCCAGCATTGCGACGTCTCTTTGCGCTGGTCGACCCGGTTCTGGAGCTTGGCCGGGCGGCGAGACGGCGCGGACTTGTTCGACTTGCCGCGGCCCTTCATGGTCTCCCGGGCTGACCTGATGGTGGCCATGGCCTCGGGAATGGCGGCGTGCTCCGCCGCGGCGGCCTCGACCTTGGCAGAGTCGTCGCCGCCGAACAGCTCGGGGATGTCCACGTTGGAGGACTCGAGCTCGGCGCTGAAGGCCTCGAGCCCCTGGCGAGCGATGTCCTGCGTGTCGGCCTCGTCCTCGTCGTCCTCCTCTTGCCCTTCGTCGCCCTCGTCGGTGGGCTCGTCGACGGCGTCAGTAGATCGCCCTGCGCGGCTGGAGGAAGCGTTGCTGCGCCAGCCGCCATGGGGGCGCGACTTGTTGCTCCGCGGCCTCATGGGCGGCGGGGCGCGGCGCTCGGAGTTGTGGATGTCCGGAAGCATCCGCACCAGCAGTCCACGGATGCGCTGTTAGCCGTAGCGTTCGTCGGGCAGGTTGCCCACGACGCGCTCGCGGCGCTCGGCCGTGAGCCCGGCCTTTCGCAACAGGAACCATCCCGCTACGCCGTCCAGCGCGTTGAGGTCCACCTCGTTCTCACGTAGTTGCTGTAGACCTGTCTCGCAGCGAATGAGCCAGTCCGTCGTTCGTTCACCTCGCCGTCGGTGATGCTGGGTAGATTCGAAAAACTTCTCGAGGGTCTCGCCTTTCTGCACGGGCTTCTGCTGACCCAGGTTCGCCTCCAAGTGCTGTGGAACATTCTCGATGCCGACCTGATTGCTGTGGCGCTTCTTCTCGTCGGCGTCCTCGATGCGCGCTGCAGCTGCCGGGTGCAGCTGCTCCTCCGTCATATTCAACGCTGCTGTTCGAGCTGTCCCGCTGAGCCTGAGTACGAGCTTCGATGCGAGACTCTGTGTGGCTGAGAGGTCCTCGCGGAGCTCCCGCAGCTTCACATCCTGCTAGTCTCCTCTTCGAGGGATCTCCGTTCCATGTCGGCGTGGCCGACTGTCCGAAATTATGAGAAATGTCCGTTGCCTTTGCGAAAAGAGAGTTGGAGTAAGGGAAATCGAACTCTGTGGCTCCGCTGAAGTTCTGGGAGCGAAGGAATTTGGATTCGGCGGCGTCGCTGATGTTCCGAGGGCAAGAAAAATCGAACTCGGCGGCTTCTCTGAAGTTATGGGAGTATGTGTAATCTAAGTCGGCGGCTTCGCTGAAGTTCTGGGGGTACGAGAAATCGAACTTGGCGGCGTATGTGTTGGCGTCGCTGACGCTGGCGTGAGAATTGGCGTTGAAGGCGTAGTAGGCGTTGCTGCTGGCGTCGCTGACGCTGGCGTGAGAGTTGGCAGGGTAGGCGTAGTAGGCGTGAGTGCTGGCGTCGCTGACACTGGCGTTGGAGTTGGCAGGGTAGGCGTAGTAGGCGTTGCTGCTGGCGTCGCTGACGCCAGCGTGTGTACTGCGCAGCAGCTGGGTGGCGCAGATCACCAGGAAGACGCTGGTCTTCGATTCCAATCTGGATCGACGTGGCGCGGACGCCGTCGTTATTATGCACGGCCCCGCGGGCAAGGATAGCGAGCCTCGCTCCGCTACCACCGTGATATGGAAGATCGCGGACCTATGGTTTCTAGTGCGCTCGCAGAGCGGAATCGTCGCTCAATTAGCCTAAGGCTCTGGAAAGTAATTAGAGCCAGAATGAGCGGCGGCAGAGCGCGGGTGAGGAGAGCAGCGGGCCTTCTGGAATCACATTGGTTGGCGGCGCTCTTGTGGTTTCCGGCGCGCCTGGAGTCTTCGGCGTTTTCTTGGTTTTCGGGGCCCTTCTGGTTTCCAGCGTTCGTCTGGTTTTGGGTGTTCTTTTCTGTGGCGTTTCTTTCGTTTTTCAGGTTCTTTTGGGTTTCCGCGCTCTTTCGTATTCACGCGCTCTTTGATCCGCTCCGCTTTGTTGGTTTTCGGGGCGGCGTTGGGTTTCGCAGTTCTTTCGGTTTTCGGCGCCTGTTGGGGGGGAGCGGGGAGCTTCGCTTCCGAGAAGCAGAAAAAGGAGGGGGGGGCTTCTGGCAGGGGAGGTCCAAGTGGGGGCTCCCCTTCCTTTGAGGAAAGGAAGGAAGGGGGGCGGGGGTAGCTTCCGGAGCGCGAGCGAAATGAGGGTAGGGGGTAGCCTCCGACGGGCGGAGAACAGGAGGGGGGGGTCTGCATGGGGGGGTAGCAAGGCCCCCCCCATTGGGAAAGGAACGGAGGGGGGTAGCTTTCAGCGCGAAATGGGACAGGGGGGAGGATCGCTTCCGAAAGGCAAGAAAAAAGGAGAGGGGGGGGTCCGGCAGGGGAGGTCCAAGGGGAGGTAGCTAAGCCCCCTCTCCCCTTCGGTCAGGGAGCAACCGCTGGTTTCGCCTGGGGCTGGTTTCGCCCGGCTGGTTTCGCCCGGCTGGTTGCGCCTGGCGCTGGATTCGCAGGCGTTGGTTTCGCCCGACGCTGGTTTCGCCCAGGCTGGTTTCGCCCGGTTGCTTTCGCCCGGCTGCTTTCGCCCGGCTGCTGGAGGAGGTGCAGGAGGAGGTGCAGGAGGGTGTGCAGGAGGAGGGAGGAGGGGGGAGGGTGGGAGGGAGGAGGGAGGAGGGAGGATGGGAGGAGGGAGGAGGGAGGAGGGAGGGAGGAGGGAGGAGGGGAAGGAGGGGAGGAGTGGAGGACGGGAGGAGGGAGGGAGGAGGGAGGGAGGGGAACGAGGAGGGACGAGGCGGACGAAGAGGACGAGGGAGGGACGAGGAGGACGCGGATGAAGAGGAGGACGAGGAGGAGGAGGAGGAGGAGGAGGAGGAGGCGGAGGAAAAGGAGGAGAGGAGGAGGAGGGGAGGGAGGAGGAGGAGCAGGTAGAGAGGGGAAGAAGGAGGAGGAGGAGGGGGGGGGGGGAGGGGAGGAAGGAGGAGGAGGAGGGAGGAGGAGGAGGGGCAGGAGGAGGAGGCGGGGGAGGGGAGGAGGAGGAGGTGTAGTGAGGGGAAGGATGGAGGAGGAGGAGGAGGAGGAGGTGGAGGAGGAGGAGGAGGAGGAGGAGGAGGAGGTGGAGGAGGGAGGCGGAGGAGAAGAAGAAGGAGGAGGAAGAGGAGGAGGAGGAGGAGGGGGCAGGAGGAAGAGGAGGAGGAGGAGGAGGAGGTGGGGGAGGTGGGGGAGGAGGAGGTGGTGGTGGAGGTGGTGGAGGTGGCTGAGGGAGGGCAGGACGGAGGGAGAAGGGAAGAGGATCAGGGCGACCCGACCCGACCTGCCCGTTAGGGTCCGCCCGTCCCGACCCGACCCGACCGTAGGGTTTTCGCGTGCTCTCTCGATTCTGCACCAGCCCCGCACTTTAATGTCCCGCCCGCCCGACCCGACCCACCCGTTAGGGTCCGCCCGACCCGACCCGACCCGACCCGCCAGTTAGGGTCCGCCCGACCTGACCCGACCCGACCGTTAGGGCTAAAACGTGTTCTCTCGATTATGTACCACACTTTAATGTCCCGACCCGCCCGACCCGACCCGCCCGTTAGGGTCCGCCCGCCCGTCCCGACCCGACCCGCCCGTTAAGGCCCGCGCGATTATGCCGTTAGGGTCCGCCCGACCCGACCCGACCCGACCCGCCAGTTAGGGTCCGCCCGACCCGACCCGACCCAACTGAATCCGATTTTGGTCCGGAATCCGGTTTTTGTCCAGAAATGCGGAATTTCGGACACATTTCCCGGTAATCGCATTTCCCTGGCGGAAGCCGCTCAGATTGGTCAGGAGGAGGAGGAGGAGGAGGAGGAGGAGGAGGAGGAGGAGGAGGGAGACGACGACGGCGCCGTCCCAGTGCCCGATTCGGGCACCCGGTGCGCTCGGACGCGGGGCGTCGGCCGAGGGGTGCGCAGCCAGAGGCCTTCTGCGAGAAAACGTGAGCAAGGGGCCCCTGGGAGGACGAGGAGGAGAATGACGAGGAGGAGGAGGCGGAGGACGACGACGAGGTCGAGGGGGAGGGGACGGACGAGGAGGAGGAGGAGGAGAAGGAGGAGGAGGAGGAGCAAGAGGAGGAGGACGACGACGACGAGGAGGGGGAGGAGGAGGAGGACGAGGACGAGGAGGAGGAGGAGGAGGAGGAGGAGGAGGGCCAGGAGGAAGAGGCGGGGAGGAGGAGGAGGAGCGAGGAGGGGGAGGAGGACGAGCAGGAGGAGGAGGAGGAGGACGACGACGACGACGACGACGGCGACGGCGACGACGACAACGACGGCGGCGGCAGCGGAATCGGCGACACCAGCCCTGGCGAAACCAGCGGGGCGAAACCAGCGGGGCGAAACCAGCGCCGGCGAAACCAGTGTCGGGCGAAACCAGCGCCGGCGAAACCAGCGTCGGGCGAAACCAGCCAGACCCGGCGAAACCAGCGTCGGGCGAAACCAGCCAGTGCCGGCCAGGGACGGGGGGGGGTAGCTTCCGGAGCGCGAGAGAGAGGGGGGGGAGGGGCGAGAAAACAGCAGGGGGGGGGCCTCCGGCAGGGCAGGCCCAATGGGGGGGGAGCTAAGAGGGACGCCCCCCTTTTGGGAGTCAGCCACGGGCGCGCTCTCTCTCTCTCTCTCTCTTTCTCTCTCTTTGTTTTTTTGTTTTCCCTCTCTCTCTTTCTCTCTTAGGTTTTACCCAAACCGTGCTTGCACTTGGGGATTATTATTTCTTTTCTGAGGAACTGGACCTGATCGCCGGTCTCGCGGCTATGTTGTCGCCGTCGCCGCCCCGTCGCCGCCGCCGCCTCGTCGCCGCCCGTCGTCTGGGCCTGATTGCCGGTCTGATGGCTAGTTATGTTGTGGCAGTCGCTGCCGCCTCGTCGCCGCCCGTCGTCTGGGCCTGAATGCTGGTCTGGCTGCTATGTTGTCGCCATCGCTGTCCCGTCGCCGCCTGGGCCTTGCTGTGCATCGCGGTGCGTTCCTTTGCATGGCCGTGTGTTACTTTGCCTTGCATGCTGTTGCTTTGTTCTGCATCGATTTGCATTGCTTTGCATTGCTTCTGCGTTGCACTGCCGTGCCTCAGCATTGCATTGCATTGCATTTCGTTTTACTGCAGTGCCTCTGCATTGCTCTGCGTTGCTTTACATCGCTTTGCGTTGCTTTGCATTTCTTTTCTCCCATCGCTTTGCTTATAACCGCATTGCTATGCGCCGCATATTTTGCACCTCGTTGGCACCACCTGGATTGCACCGCGTTGATTGCACCATCTAGATTGCACCACGTTGACGGTAGCATTGTGGCTTCGGGAGCGCGGACTTATTTTTGAGACAAAGGGAGAGGTGGGCGGTGCATGCAGCTGAATGTGACCAGGAGGGGGGGGCCCTAGTAGATAAAAAACAAAAAACGACGACAGCATTTGGCACTGTGGCACTCTACCACGACACAACGCCAGGGAGCACGGTGACTGGGAACCGCAGCGGGCCCCCTTTCGGGAAACTGTCGCGCAAATGTGGGCCATAGGGCAGTCAGGGATATGAAGAGCGAGAAAAGGAGAAGAGGAAGGAAAAGTAGTAGTAGGAGGAGGAGGAGGAGGAGGGGCCTCCTGGTGATCTCGTCAGGCCCTTCTGGGGGCCTCCTTGGGCCCTTCTGAATGCCTCTTGGTGGCCTCTCGGGCGCCTTTCGGGGGCCTCTTCGGGCCTCTTTGCGCCGTCTTGGCCCGTCTGAGGCCTTCGGACGCCGTTTCAGGGACTTCGGTGTATGCGCCCTCCTGGCATGGCAAGGAGGGAAAACATGCGTCCATCCTGGGCCCAGGATGGGGCGGACCAGGATCGATGCGAGCGTTTGGCTGGCGCCCTCCGAGCCTAGAGCTCCCCAGAGCTTCCCAGGGATAAGTCATGGCCCCGCGTGGTCCTAAAGCAGCTCCAGGAGGCCGAAGTGCAGGAGAAACGCCAGGGGGTCAACGAGGAGACCTGGGCAAACAGGCTGTGCTCGGCGGACTCGCAGCACCCCAGGCATCTGGCGTCGTGCTTTTTTGGTTTTCGCGACGCGGCTCGCCTGAGGTCTGGACCTCTTCCCTGGGGACCGGGCAGGCTTGTCATCTCGAGTTGTAATTTCATTGTCCTGAGGCCCGCGGTGAGGGCCTCTGCCAACAACCTTCCGTTGTGTTTTTGTTCCGGGGATGTCAGGGACGCGCGCCGCCAGGAGCCAGCCGACAAGCAGCCCGAGAAGCCCTCCGCCCCGGAGCCTGCGCTTGAGCCGCCCGCGAAGCGGCTCCGGCCCGCGGCCGAGGATTTGCAGCGCCCAGCCGCCCGCCGCTTGCCGCCGCCGCCAGGGAGAGAGGCCTGGATCGCCTTCCAACAGCGACCCAGACCTCCGACGGTGCGTGCTTTTCTCTCCTCTCCATCTGGGCGTTTTCCTCGACTTCTGCCCTCGGGGGCCGGTTATCTGCTCTAGGGGCCATGAACAGCGGATCCTGACGGGAAGCGGTCGGGGCTTCTGGGGCCGCGGACTGAAACATCATATCGGCAGATGTCAGGTGCGCCCATGCAGTCAGGGGCAACGTCATGGGCGGAGGCATCTGAGGGGTGGCGGCAGGCCCAGATCTCTGGCGATACATATTTTTCAATCCCAGCGTCGGCCCTCGATTTGGGTGCTTGGGACCCGTCATCGGGCCCCAGGGCATTAGCAATGGATCTGGGACGAAAAATTACCCCTGGGAAAAGGGTTCATCTGCAGTGTGTTGCGCACTGAAAAAAAAAGGCAGATCGGCGGATCTCAGGGGGGTGGTCTCAGGGGGGAATGCGCCGCCCCCCAATCGCCCTTTGATCGCTGATAGGGGCCCCACAGCCCGCCCCGCCCACAAGCGTGCGGAAATTATATCGAGGGCCCCTCGCTGATCTGTCGGCGATGTGTCTGTCGGCGATTCCAAACCGATGTTCGCCCCCTTGAGCCATATCCCCCCTTTTGCCCCCATGGTTCGAGGATCGAGGTTTTCGGACGTTTTCGTCGGTGCCAAAAACCTCCCGTCGCGATTTCTGCACGGCGCGAGGATCTCAGGGACGGCCAGGGCTGGCCCGCGTCGGAAATCTGATGGGTGTTGAGGAGATTTGGCCTGACCCTCGGCCGCGGTGCTTCGACAGCGGCATGAGATCGGACTGCTCTCGCTGGCACCCCACTAGAGCGCGTTGAGAGTTTGCGCAGGCGCCAGAGAACGTGTGATCCTCAGGTGAGCAAGGAGTCAGTCACCTTTGTGCGTGCACGTGAATGATCGGCTTACCCAGCGATTTGGCGCACATAACGGGAGGAGTCTGGCACGGCCATGTGTCCGTAAAGTTGTTGTTCAAGCTCGTCATGCAGTAGCTTCGAGTGCCCCCACCCCGCCCACGGTGCATGAAGCACGCGCTGCAGCTGGGGTACGCGGCGCTGGGGTCCCTGCAGGCATCGTCGATTCGGCATCCGGCCTGTGTGTGACTGTACTGTATGCCCCCCGCGCCAGACGAGGGGGTCATCGAGCTGCTGGGCCAGCAGCTCCAGCGGTGCGGTCCAGAACGCCTGACCGCCTACGCCGCCTTCCCTGCCGCAGTGCCGTGCCCGTCATCGCCCGACCTAGTCGTGCCCTTGCTGGCCGCCTTCGGCGGCGGAGCGGTGGTGGGCGGGCTCGTGGTCGCGCTCATCGTGGTGATCCGCGGGCCGAGCCTTGGGCTGGCGACCCTCCCGGCCCCACGTGGCGAGCCAGGGACGTCGGCGATTCCGTCAGGTGGCTTGCTCTCGCTGACCGAAGGGGTCGCCGCGGGCCAGTCGTCGCTGGAGGCGGAGGCGCAGGCGCAGCTCGAGGAGACCAGGAACCGCCGAGATGGCACACCCTTGCGCTGAGATGTATGGCCTGTACGAGGGGGACCTCGCGGCTGTGGAGTTCAACTGTCGGCCGCGAGACCTACGGCATGAGCGGTGTGTGGTCTACCTGCTGGACAGAGGGACTGATCAGGTGGGAGTGCTGACGCCCGACGGTGGCTGCTACCTAGAGTCCTGGGTGCTCCCCGACGTGGCGTGTTGGGAGCGGTTACCTGAGGGAGCCAAAGCCGGGGCTCTGGCGGAGGCCAGGCTTCGGTGCTACCGATTTCGGAGTGTGCCGCCTGCCCGAGCCGCGGCTACCCCTGGTGCCAAACGTGGGCCTGGCGCTTGCGGGCCCGAGGGCGTTGCCGCTCCCGCCGCCCATCGAGGGCCCGCCGACGCCTCGGGGGCCTGACCGAGGGGCGGCCGGCGACGCCAGCGGCGCAGGCGGGGAGCCAGCCAGCCAGGCCCAGGGCGTGTGGGTGACTGCGGAGAGCCGCCACGGCATCGCCCGCCTCATTCGCTGGGACGCACCTCCAGCCCGTAGCGTCGTGGGCGGCCGAGCGCTGGTAAGCCACGCCGGGGCCCCATTGGTGCTGATGCGGGTTTCGGAGGAGGAGCTGCGGGGTGACCACAGGCACGGCGAGAAAGTTGAAAGGCATCTCGAGCAACGCTTGGCCGGGTTCGGGAGACGAGGATGATCTTCGCACGTTCTCAGTGGTCTGGGACAACATGAACGAGAGACACCGCACCTGGGACAGCGTGGTCGCGAACCTCACTGAGAAGAGCTTCATTGACTGGCCCCTCTTGGGGCCACGAACGGCGGCGTGGCCGCGCCGTCGCATCCGCCTCAACGGTGGGGGCCCGACGGCCTTCTTCAGCCTATTTGCGCGAGGCGTGAAGATGGCGGAGAACGATCGCCGCGCTCACGAGCCGGAGGCGCTGCTCAATGTGATGGGGCTGGCGGGTACCGTTGACCAGCTCAACTTAGGGAACCTCGCGTGCATCGAGCTGGCGGGAAGGAGGATCCAGCTCATCATGGGCGTCAGCTCGGGCGGCGGCGCTGCTGTCTGGGAGGGCTCCGAGCATTTCCATGGGCTTGGCCGTCCGGCGCGAGGCATAGCGCTGGCGCTGCAGAGCCACGCGGCCGCCAGAAGACGAGGCAGAGGTCGACAAGCAGCGCGACAAAGCTCGCGATGCCAGGAAGCTTCGCGGAGGCAAGCCTGGCGGCGGCAAAGAGTTGCTGCAGGGGGGGGGGGGGGGGCGGAGGAGGCGCCCAGCCATCGCCCCGAGCTTGGGCGAGAGGCCAGAGGCCTCGCGCGGCGCGGAGGCGTCGGCAACTTTCTAGTGCTGCACCTCCAGTCGCGGGCCTGCAGATGGAGCAAGACTGGTCGAAGGGTGGCTGTGCTAGTCTGGGCTCATGGCACCCGGGTGAAGTCTTCCCTCTTCCGCCCCTTGGTCTCGAGCCGCTGCGTCGTTTTGATCTCTTCCAGAGATGCGCTCGGCGGATTCAGGCCCGTCGGCGACGGCAGACGGTGGCGATGGGGGGCGCGCGATGCTCTGAGCTGGATGGCCGGTGCAAGGCCGCCCGTGGAATGGGCCCCGATTCGCGAGGCGAGTGCGGTCGTGCGCAAAGATGTAGGTTCTAGCGTCGCAATGCGCCGATGCTTCTTTCCCGCGTCATCTGCATCAGCTCGCTCGCTTCTCCGGCACGCAGCGGGCCGCTGCCCGACTGAAAGTTCGGCGCGCCCGCTCGTGAAAGATCTCGCGCCGCTCCCGGCCGACGCGGCCGACTGCCTTCTAGCGGCTGAAGCGCAAGGTGAACGAGAGCGTTCAATGCTCGGCGGTTGCCGTTTGATTTTCTCCGCGATAAGGAGAAGAGAAGGTCTGAGCCTCCAGCGAAGCCCTACATGGACCCACGGCTCTGAGGGGGCAGCCGAGCCCACGTAGATTTTGCGAGGGTTGCACCGCAGATGCCCGGGCCGCGAATCTAGGATTCAAGATGCCCCTTGGCGCGGCCCACGCGACTGTTGAGAATTTTGCACGTGTCGAAGTGGGCCCCAGGGGCTCCATGTACACAGGGGGGCGTCTCTAACTGTTTCTACAGGCTTGGCATAGATGGCCCTCTGTGCGAATTGTTCGGTCTTCCTTCCATTGAAACCGGGGCGCGGATAAACTGGGCGGGGCCTCGGTGGCCTTGGGCGAGCACCCGTTCCCACGTCGTCGCGCGTTACTAACATCATTGCCATGGTGGGGCCCGTTCTTCCCGCAGAGGGCCTCGCGTAATCTTCCCCGCGAGGTGCCGCGCCTGAACCCCGAGAATGCCTTCGAGAACAGCTCCTGCAACTCCGTCTTCGATTCAGATGGCACGAGGCTCGCGCGTCATGCGCATGTCGTTAACGTCGGGGATTGTTTGCTAGATTCGCCCGAGGTTCAGAGTGCCCGCGAGGGCGCGACCAAGGCCCTGGACTCCGTGGGCACGGTTGCTCGCTAGCTTGCCGACGCCGCCCGTGCCGACGAGGCGCCGGGGGTAGTTATCGATGGGGCACGGGGGGTGATGCGTCTTAGTGAGCGACGGCGCAGTCGCTTTCGGAGTGCGTCCTAGTGGGCGCCCAGCAGGAATAATTTGAGTGGTGCGCAACTGGAAATGCTCGTTGGCCACCTCGCCTTCGCCTTCTTGATCCGTCGTCCGCTGCTGCCCGCGCATGGCGCCACTACCGTGTCATCGAGCGTTTGGATGAGCATGCGAGAGAGAGAGAGAGAGAGAGAGAGAGAGAGAGAGAGAGAGTTGTGGCCAAGTGTTATTGCCGGCATCGGGGCCGCCTACTGTTTGCTGCCCTTGTGCGTTGCTGAGCTCCGTCGGCCGCGGCCCTCGCAGGTTTCTGCAGATGGCGCAAGTGCGACGGGGTTGGGTGTTGCCCAGACTCGTCGGGAGGAGCGTCGGGTATAACAGGTGTGTCGGGGTGGCAGAGCGTTTCGGGTTCAGATGCGCTGGTTCCGGGGGGGCATCGCGAGCGGGCCCTTGGTGCCGCCGCCCTCGACCCCTTCTCGGATCTGGTCACGGTGATCGGGTCGGTCACCTCGGAGCGCGAGCTCTGGGAGGAGGACTCCAACTTCCAGGACGTTCCAGGCGCTTGGATTCGGAAGTCGGTCTGGGAGCGCGCGTATAGCGGAAGGTTTTGGAGGCTGGAGGCGACGCGCATGAACGAGTGTCGTACTTCGTTGTGGTCGTTGGGGCGCCCCTGTAAATCTCGCGCCAGGCGGGCGGTCAAACGCCCCCAACTGGGCGACAATATCAGTGCCATCGTGGCTCACTCCGAGGGGCGCGCGACCAGTTGGCAGTTACTTGCTTCGTGTCGGCGGCCGTCGGGGCTCAACCCAGCGGACGCGGCCAGCAGGGTGTTCGAACCGAGCCGGCATGCGAGAGGCGAGAAGACTGACGTCCAGCTCGCTTGCGC